CTCGCTCCTACATGGAGAAGAGGGGAAGGGGACCAGTGGCCACAGGATATCTGTCCCCAGAGCCAAGTTGCAAGGCAGCCAGACTGAGCCCCAAAGTGAGACAAAGGGTCTGAGTCCTGTGCCATCACGCTGGCTCCTGCACCCCACTGAAGCCACCCCCCTCAGAACTCACCTTTGATGTTGTAGGCACCATCATTGAACTCCAGCTGGAAGACATCGTAGCTGGAGCGGTTGGCATCCAGGGTGCCCGTGACCTTTCGGCAACCAATGAAGCCATGCTCCCCACGGAACACAATGATGGGACGGTTGATGAGCTTCATGAGGAAAAGCTCCGAATCCCCTGTCCCAGGAAAGGGGAAGGACAGTGAGCCTCACGGGATGGGACTGAGATGATCGGGGCGTGGCCCACAGAGGGAAAGCAGGGAGCCTGGGGTCACGGGGCATGTCAGCCATGGGAGGCGGGGGTAGGTGCTGGTGAGTGGCTACGAGGTGGGCAGACCCTCCAGAGAACCCGGGACTGGGCTGTGCCCACAGGTGGCTACCTGCTGTCTCCACCGAGGCAGCCAGCTGCCCGTTCTTCTTGGCTGTCACAAACTTGCCATTGGACGCACGCAGTGTGATCCGCCGATCACGCCACTCGATGTCAAAATAGCAGCTGGCATTCCTGGAGGTGGCAGGACAGGGTCAGGCGGGGCTGCCCCGGGTCCCCTCCCCCAGGAAGGGCTGGCCTGGGAGGGCGGGCGGGCACTCACTTGGTGGAGGCAGTGGACTGCACGCCCCCTGTGGCCGTCAGCGTCCAGTACTTCCCCGTGTGGGTGCGGAAGGCGCACTTTTTGGTGTCACGGTCAATCTCGAGCTGGAAAGTCTCCTGGTCGGTCTCCTCATCTTGATTGGCTGACAGGTCCATACCTGCAGGGAGAGCTTCCCATTGGCACAGGGACCCCTGCAGCCCCAGATCTGGTGGGCCCATGGCCCTGCCCTCACAGCAACACAGCGGGGCTGCCACAGGTGGGCGGCGGGGGCAGCAGCTGCCCAGACCCCCCAGCCTCCACATTAGGGGGCAGGACCCAGGACCCAGGCAGAGGGCCAGGCAAGGACTAAGGCTGGCTACGTCTGCCTCACATCATTTCTCCGATGCTAAATGTTTTCTTCCAACAAACCATCCGCACAAAGATGTTCTAGAACCAATTGGAAGAATCTTAATGTGGCCCAGGATTAAATATTAAGGATTAATTATTGTTGATCATATCGCGGTTATGTAAGAAAATGGCCTCATTTCTCAGATATAGACAAATACCTCGAGATGAAATGCCCCAATGTCAGGGATTTGCTTTACTTATTTTTTTAAAGATTTTATTTATTTATTCATGGGAGACACGGAGAGAGACAGAGACACAGTCAGAAGGAGAAGCAGGCTCCATGCAGGGAGCCCAACAGGGGACTGGATCCCAGGACTCCAGGATCACACCCTGGGCTGAAGGCGGTGCTAAACCACTGAGCCATGTGGGCTGCCCGGGATTTGCTTTAAATACAACCAAAAACAATGAATAAAGGGACAGATGGAGCTAGATGGAGGAATATCGCATCTGGGGGAAACTAACATATCATATCCTTCCTGTTCCTGTGTCTAAGTTAAGAGTAAAATGTAATAGCAGGCCTTCCTTTCAGGAAATTTACAAAACTCATAAATGCATAAAAATGAAGTCACACGGGCACATGGGTGGCTCAGTCGGTAAAGCCTCTGCCTTGATTTCAGCTCAGGTCATGGTCTCAGGGTCATGAGATGGAGCCCCAGGTCTCCACGAAGCCTGCTTGAGATTCACTCTCTAGCTCTCCCTCTGCCCCTCCCCTCCCGTGGGCATTCTCTCTCCCTCTCTCTCTCTCTCCCTCTCTCAAAAACAAACAAACAAACAAAAAAAGGTCACACCCCCCATGCCCACCATACCCAGGACACACTGCAAACAGTGGCGAACACACCCTCCTCGCCTTCTCCCGGGCGCAGACGCAAGCCACAGATGTCGATTTGCAGAGGATCTAGGCAACATGCTCACACTCGTTTCCCTATCCCTCAATCATCTGATGAGACCAGAGGGGGCCTCCGCGCTCTCCCATGCGCTGCTGCCCAGCAGGGCTGATCTCCGTGGCCATTGTCTTGCTATCTGAGTTGCCTCTTCCAGCTAAAACCGGGAAGTAGGATATGGTTCCATAGAACAAATTCACATGCCCCAGGCACCTGGGTTCTAAGCACTGCGACAGCAGGGACATCCACCCACTCTGCGGGCTACCTAGACTCCAAGCTCAAAAGTGTGTGTCACCGTTTGGATCTGGACACCTTTAGGAAGATGGGACCACCATGGGGGGGTGGTGGCAGGTGTCCTTTTGGATGAGCAGATGGAGGATGGGGGATGGGGAATCGTCGGGTTCCCCACCCGGAACCCACCCACCACCCAGCGGAGGACCTGAGGGCATGAGCCTGTCTTAACCCCCTTCAGCACCAGGGAGGGGATGGGGACCTTCACCTCCACGAAAAGGGAGACTGAGGCACAGAGATGGTGTGTCCTTGTCCAAGGTCACCCAGAAAGGTCCCCTGGTGAGCCTCAGGAGGGGAAGTGGACAAACCCAGGCCTCCCGCCATGCCCTCTTTATGGACTGGCAGACCCAGGGCCCTGAGCCAGATCCTCCTGGAAGCCCTCGGGCTCAGGCCTCCAGGCCCCCTGGGGGCCCTTCCGCCTGATGTCCGCTGACTTACTGGGAGGCGAGGCGGGTAGTGAGCCACACCCACCCACACACCCACAGCGCAGCACTGGGCGAGCATGAGGGTCAACGGGGACTGGGCCCCTGGGCAGCCGAGCCACCAAGAATGGGACCATCCTGAGGCCACTCTGGGGAGCACAACTTGGGGCCGGAGTCACCAAAAGCTGGTGCACATGCCCCATCCTCACTGCTACAGGGACCCACACCATGATCCAGCCCACCCCAGCCGCAGGCACCACCTGCCCAACATGCGGTGCACCCATGCATCGACCAAGAGGAAGGGCCCTTCGGGATACACTCCAGCAGCAGACAGGATGGGGATCACCAGAGAGAGGGGCCAAAGGGGGGGGGGACCTGGATTACAGGTCCCATCTCCAGCCTCACTCACTCTGCTGGTTCAAAGGGCTGGTCTAAATACAGCCCCTCCCCAGTTGGGGGTAAAGCAGGCGGGTCGGGAGGCTCCTTCTCAGGGAGACTGAGGCGGGGCAGCCCCATGCTCGGATGCTCGGAGCATGGAGCATGGAATCCGTACTGACCTCCTCTTCCTCTTCCCCCAGAGGAACAGGAGGCCACGCCCAGGGCCACACAGCCGCCACCATCTGCTCAGCCGCTCAGAAGACCCCATCAGCTGCCCCCATCAGACCTGGAAGTCTGATGGAGAGGCCTTGGCCAGGTAGGGAGCCACCCAAAGTGGACACCAGGGACCCCTCGTCAAAAGGGTCTGCTTTCTGCCAGGAGGTTGGGAGGATTCAGGGGCGTGGTACCTAGCTGACACCAGGTCTTCCATTCTCAACAGGAAGGGGTACAGGGGTGCAGGGGGGAGTGTTTCCCCAACATCCAGAGGGGCCCCTCCTGGCTCCAAGGCCCTGCCCAGACGGGGAAAGGCCCCACTTGGCCTTGGAATCTCTAATTAGAGCTTGGTTACTATGGGAACAGGGTTTTCTTTGGGATTTTTCTTTTCATCAACAGCAGCAGCAGCACTGAGTCACGGGCTGGTGGTAGAAGCGCTGGGGAGGCAGATGCGGGGGCTCAGCACATCTCCTGCCTCCCCCCTTCCACCGCCCTGCCTGTCCCTCTGCCTCATGGCTTTTCCTGTCGCCAGGCTGAGTCATTCCCTATGGTGGCTCCAAGAGGGCACTCCATCCCCCTCAGCCTTAGCAGTTCCTAAATTCCCCTTGATTGTCCAAAAGAGGTGTTCCCCACCACCCCTTCAGTTTAGGGGAAGGGGCCTGGAAGCTTCTGTGGCCCCACTTCCCTTCCCCTCTTTCTACTACCAGACCACTTCAGATCCCTTCCTCCTTTGCATAAGAATTAGGGACTGAAATACCTCAAATGCCCTGCCTCTTCGGAGAGCTCTTACACATCCTGCTAAGTCCAGCCTGACCAGCCCTTTCTCAGCCAGCCAGCCAGCCTCGCCTTTGAGTCCCTTTGAGTGGCTGGGAAAGGGCATTTCCTGAGCCTGGAGCCCTAGGACACAGCTGGCCAGATGCAAGGAGGCTGTGAAGCCAAGTGGGAAATGTGGTGAGGTGCGGTCCACCATGGCTAGAGCCCGAGCAGGTGAGACTTCCAAGGAGCATAGCAGGACACCCAACCTGGGTGTGAAGTGCTGCTCACCCAGCAACCCTGCCAACCTTCATCCCTGCCCAAGCCAGGTCCTCACTTGTGAAGTAGGCACAGCTACAGCATTTCTGAGGACCTGGGATGAATGTATACAACCTGCCTGTCACATCAGTCCTCAGGTGCCAGGACCCCACTCCCTGGTGGCTGAGATGCCTCCTCCCAGAAACAAACCCTGGCTTAGTAAGCCAGGGCAGCCCTGGGCCAGCCCTTTACAGATGGGGAAACTGAGGCCAAGGAGCAGGTTGCAGCTTCAGCAGGGAGCACCCCACCCTCACCAGGCCAGGCCTGTGCAAGCCTGTGGGCATGATTCACATCCCCCCAGCCAGCTAAGCCCAGGATCCTCCTCCTTCCTGGCTGGCTTTTCGCAACATGTGTCAGAAGCACAGACACCGCCTCCTTTGCCACGCAGGCCTGTCCAAAATGGCCTCTGAGACACGCCCCCCACCCCAAAGCGGCTCCAGGTCTTCTGGTTTCCTTCCATCCCACCAGGAAGCCTTGGGGTCAGCTAAGATGAAAACAAGATGAGGACCCCAAGATCTGAGGCCAAAAGAGCCCCCCTCTCAGCCCCCAAAGACCCCTCCCCGTTCTTTACACCTTTAAACTCAAAGATGAGCCAACATTTCTGACCCATTTCCAGCTGCCCCCGCCCCATCAGCCTGAATCACACCATGACTCTCCCAGCAAGCTTTAATAAAGAGGAGAGGGCATCTGCCCAGACTCGCGCTGCTCCTCCTGGCCCCAAGGGCTAGGGCCAGGGTCACCTGCTCCTCCACATCTTCCCCAAGGAAGGCACTGGATGCCGCCAGCAGGCCTGCAGCATGCCTGCCTTGGTGAGTACCCATCACGGATCTGGTGGCCCCACTGGCTGTTCTAGTCCCACCTACCAACCTCACAAGCTTTTTCTTATCCATACTGGGCTCTCTGCTCCTTCCTGCCTCAGGGCCTTTGCATAAGCTGCGCCTTTTGCCTGCAACACTGTTCCACAGGCCTGATACATGCTGCCTTGCATTCATCTTCCAGGTCAGCTTGCAGGTCCTCTTCAGAAGTCGCCCCCCCACACCTGCTGCCCCCCCCCAGTCTAATCTGGAATCCTGATGTACTTTCCAGACCCCCCCAGGCCTCTGCTTGACACCTCTGGAATGCTGATCATGTCAAGATCATCAGCTACAACAGGGAAGGGTCCAGGCACAAATACTCATTTGTTCACCAATGAACATGTCTCACCTGGTAGGGGCTCAATGTTTGCTGAACAGGTGAGGAATCCTGCCCCACCAACACTGTGTGAGACCAGAAAGGAGAGGCCCACCCACTGTGCCCTGGAGGTTGGGAGGTATGGCGGGAATGGTTCAGAAAAGAGCCTATTCTGTAGTCAAACAGACTCAGTTCTGCACGTTGCTTACTTGCTGTGTGACCTTGGGCAAAGGCTTCACCCTCTCTGGGCCAAACCGGCTCATCTGTACAACTGAAATAATACTGCCCAAATCAATCAGGAAGCTCAGGCACAAGACATGGCCATTACCCCACCCAGCCTCCACCCCCTCCAGGCTACAAGCTCCTCTACTCCGTCCCAGCCCAGAGTCAGGAGGGTGGCCATCAGGATAACGACATGAAGTCCACACAACCAGAAGGAGGGCACTGAGCGAGCGACCATCCAGCCATCTCCAGAGGCTGGAGTCCAACTTGCCACTCAGCAGAGCAAGACCCCCACACAGGTCCCCTCCAGTGAGACCTCGGGCTGCAAAGAATCAACCATCTTCCTTGCCAAAGGAGGGACGAAGGCGCCAGAAGGAAGGGAAACTACCCAGGGGGAGAATCTAAGAAGGAAAAGAGGGGGGGCTCACTTCTGGCGCGCAGGCCGGTAGGAAATGGCCAGGCGGCGGAGGCCGGGAAAGGACGAATCGAGTTTCAGCCAATTGTTCCAGGCGGGACACTTGGGGATGGGTTCATCCGAGGGTAGGGGCTTCCCGAGGGACCCCGGCTGGGGTCTCTGGGCTCACCCTAAGTCCGCCCTCCCGATGGCCGCAGAGCTGAGCGCACCAGACCGGAGCCGTGCGGCGGGCGCAGGGCGGGGTGCCTGGCAGGGTGCCATCCGCGCCACGCCGTCCCGGGACCGGGGCGCGAGGAGGGAGGCCGCCTCCAGGAGAAGCTCGGGACCGGGGCACTGGTCCGGGAACTGCGCGGGGGGTCCTCAGCAGGGGCACCCGCAGAAAACCGATCCCCCTCCCCCGCCCGCCCGCATCTGGTTTTCCCATCTGCAGAGACCGAGCAGGACAAAGGGGGCGAGGGAGGGCCCTCTGGAGAAGCCCGCCCCCCTGCTCACAAAGGCCGCGGCCTCGAGCGCGGGGCAGACGCGGGAGGAGGGGCTGAGGGGAAGGGCAGACACTCGGGGCGCACCCCCTAGCAGAGGCCGACCCCTCGGGGCTACACGTGGGGGTGGAGAAAGGCCCGGAGGGCTGGAAGGTGGAAGCGCACCCCGCGGCGATCAAAGGTTCCCCCCATCCCGCCCGCGCTGGGAGGACCCTGGGGGTGGGGGTGCTCCCAGCGCGCGTAGCGACCCTCTCCTCTGCCGGTGAGCTAAAGACCCGCTGACTAGGGGAGGGGTAGGAGGATAGGGGGGAGGGGCGTTCCCCCCTTCCCCAGGGCTGGGCCAGGGAATCAGCTGGATCAGCGCTCTTGAGGAGTTCCAAAGGGGGGGGCTGTGGGGGTTCGGAGGGTAGCACATAGGGCGGCACCTACGCGAGGCCCAGGGAGCCGCAACCCCAGCGCTGGGTGGGGGTGTGCAGCGGCGCCCAAGGATGGGCAAGGCCCCACCCCTCGACCCCTCCTCCCAGCCCGAGCGCACGTCCCGCGACGAGGCGGGGTGGCCGGCGCGCCCAGCGGGGGCGCACCGGGCGTCGCTAGGGATTGCAGCGGCGCCGCGGGCGAGAAAGGGCGGGAGGCTGGAGGTACGGGGGTGGGGTGCGCTTTGTGCAAGGCCCGGGAGAGGAGGGGGCGGCGTCCCCACTCACCCTGGCGCGTGGACACGTTCCTCTCGTTGGCCGCCTGCAGCACGACCTGGGCGCAGCTCTGCTCCAGCGCGAAGAGCTCGTCCTTGCCCACCTTGGTGGCCTTGCCCGCCTTGAGCGTGCCGCTGGGCCCCGACGGCGCCAGGTAGCGGCCTTCGCAGTCGCGGAAGGCCACCTTGCCCGAGCGGAACTCGAGGGTGTAGCCGGTGGCGGGCTCGGGGCGCGCCACCAGGCGCCCGTCGTGGCGCAGGAAGCGGTGGTCGGCGGTCTGCACGCTGTAGCGCTGGTCCTGGAAGGCCAGCGTGATGAGCGAGTCGACGCCCCAGGGCACGTCGCGGTCCACGGCGATCTCGTCCGCCGGCCGCGCGCTCAGGTGCGCGTAGCGCTTGCGGGTCAGGCTGTAGATGTTGACCTGCGGGTGCATGGCGATGTGCACGCTCCACTTCTCAGCCGGCGACACGGTCTGCGCGAAGCACGACAGGCGGTCCTCTGTGCCGCCGAAGTAGCGCCGGTGCGCCTCGGACTGCAGCGACCAGCGGCCGTCGTCGTGCGCCACGATGAGAAAGCGGCAGTCTGGGCCCGGCACCTCGCGCTCGCAGGTCACGTTGCCGTCCTTGTCCGCCGCCAGGTAGCGGCCCAGGTGGCTGCGCAGGCACACGGCCGCGCTGCCCGCCTCGTCGGGAGGCTGCTCCAGCGTCCAGATCTGCTTCTTTTTCAGGCTGCTGGCCGACGCGTTCACCTTGAACCCGAACGCCTCGGCCGTCAGGTACTTGTTGCCGCAGTTGATGAGGCCGAACTGGATCTGCACGGCCTCGGCGGTGCCGTTGGCGGTCATGGTGGCGGCGGGCGGGAGGGCCCCGGCGCGGCCCGGGAGGTCGGTGGCGGGTCCCCGCGGCGGCGCCCGGCTCCTTTGTTCGCGACCGCAGCCCGGCGCGCACCCTCCGCAGCGCTCCACAAAGCCGGCCCGCGGCGCGCGAGCCCCTTTCTAGGCGCGGTGACGTCAGCGCCGCGAGGCCCCGCCCCCGCCCCCGCCCCGCCCCGGGGCTCGGCGGGGGAGGGGGCGCGGGCTCCGAGGGGCGCGGGTGGCGGTTCCGCCCTCGGCGTCCCCCCGCTTCCGCGCCGCCGCCCGCGCCCCCGGGTGCCAGGGCCCCACCGCAGCCCGGGACCCCTCGGGGCGCCTCTCATCCTGAGCGTAGAGGGGAAGAAGGGCGAGTCGGGTTTGAGGTTGTGACGGAGACCGCAAAGACCACAGAACACAGCAGTACTGGGTGGAGGCGGTCCGGAGGCTGCTTGGAGGAGGTGGCCTTAAAGCAGAGCTTTGAAGGAGGGAGACCCCCCCACCCGCACCCGAAGGGGCCTGTGGGCCAGAGGGGTCCAGGCAGGCCAGAAGAGCTGGGGGAGGGGCCTGCAGACCCCAACTCACCCAACTCAGGCCTTGCAAAAAACATTTCCCTGAAGGCCACCCAGACACCTCCCTGTGGCCCAAGTACCCAGCCCTTGCTGGCCCAAAATAGTTCTAGGAGGTCGGCAGAGATGAGTGACTACTGTTCCCATTCTGGGGATGCAGAAGCCTCAAGGTTCTGGTCTTCCAGGCAGTGGGGTAGGCAGTGCAGGGTTTTTATGTTGTTGTTTTTGTAAGATTTTACTTATTTATTTTATTTATTTGAGAGAAAGAGAACACGCACAATCAGGGGGAGGGGAGCAGAGAGGAGAAACAGCCTCCACACTCAGTGGACCCATCCCAGGACCCCAGATCATGACCTGAGCTAAAGCAGTCGCTGAAGGACTGAGCCCCCCAGGCGCTCTGGCAGGGCAGGGTTAGCATACCCTTTTACTGGGCTAATCAGAGGTGGGACCAGCCCTGGCCTGACAGCCTGAAGGGCAGGATCCAGGTCACAGCTCCAGGACTAGGGCGCCCCTTACTTTATACCCTCAGGTTCCTACTTCATAGGTCGCTGAGCTGGGCACACTGGAAAACGTTTGGAAGGTAGAAGCCCTCCTTCAGGACCCCAACTGTTTACACTCCTCCCTCAAAGGGGGCATTCCCCGCAGACACCCACCCCCTGCCTTCTCCTCCCCCTTCTAGGAACACTTCCTTTTCCTAAGGCCAGGACTTTTGCTGGGACATTCCCCACATGCCAAGCAAGCCCCTGGAATGCCAGCATGACCACAAGCTGCCCACAAGGTCTTGGGGCCTGAGGCAAAGAGCACTGAACTAGCTCCCCAGCTGGTTGGTCTGGGCCTTGTCTTCCTCCAGGCAAACCCCTCCAGGGATTTCTTTATCTTCCAGTGGAAGATGGTGTCACCTCACCATCGTGGTTCAAATGGGTTTACTGACAGGGCCTGGAACCTGAGGCAGGCAGTGGCCATAGTCTTCCCTCCCACAAAACCCATCCCTCAAGAGCCAGAACATCAAGAGTTTCTCATTTGGATGTTACCTATTAGGCTTGAAACCCAGGATCTCACCAGCTGTGTGACCTTAAGCAAGTTAACCTCTCTGAGCCTCAGTTTCTGTTTTGTAGAAGAGCTACAAATCCCCCATCTCAGGAGAGTCTGAGAGTCCCTGGGGACATGGAGCTCAGGCATTGACTGTCTACCCTGAGGACCCACTCCAGTCCCCGGAAGCCTTGCAACTAATTAGAAAGACCCCAAACCTACGGCCAACTTCCAAGGCTCAGAGAAGAGGCTCAGAGAAGAGGCGGATGAATAGCTGTAGGCATTTCCAGAAGGCTGTGGGGTGCTTGCTCTGGCAGGAGCATGCTGAGACCCGCCTACTGGGATCAGGGCCGGGCCACGTGCTCCCTCCAGCCTGTAGCTCCCCACTCTGGCCCCAGGAGGCCAGAAAAGGGGCTGGGGTTGAGCACTCCTGCCTCTCTATCCCGCCAGGGGTGGGAGTGGGTCTGGACCTTCCCAGGGGATGCTTTTGAGGGATAGAAAGACCAGCAGGTCTAGATGGGTTTGGTGGCGGCCTGGGTTCAAACGCACATAATCTGGCTCTCGGCTTTCCATCTCTAAAAGGGACATGGTGGCAGCACCTGCCCTAGAAGAGTTGCTGAGAGGACAGCAGAAACTAAAGTTGATGACTGTATAGATCAAGCACCTAGAAAACAGTGCCTGGCATGTGGTCAGTGCTCAACAAACAATGGCTGTTTTGGGACACCTGGGTGGCTCAGTGGTTAGGCGTCTGCCTTTGGCTTGGGGCATGATCCCAGGGTCCTGGGATCAAGTCCCACATTGGGCTCCTCGCAGGGAGCCTACTTCTCTCTCTGCCTATGTTTCTGCCTCTCTCTGTGTGTCTCTCATGAATAAATAAATTAATTAAATTAAATTAAATAATAATTTATTTACTTATAATTATGAAATCTGGGTGCCT